TTGCCTGTTAAATTTTGTGTTTTGTGAAAAACGTCTAGTACCTTGAACTTAAACTGCTGGCTAACTTGTGTCATTTCAACCTGTATTACAGTGAGCAGAATAGAACTGTCATTATCAGCTTTTTTTGGTTTTCTTTGTTAAAAATCGGAAATTAAATCAGAGCCCCCTTTGCGCTGACCCAATCCCTCAAACCACCTGTAGTCAAAAGACTGTATCCTCTACTCGGGGTCTGTTCTACCTTCTGTTGTTCAGTTTTGGTGTTACTCTGGTTCTCATGGTTGTTGTTGTTGTTTTTTTTTTTTCCTGGTTGTCTGGGTCCCTGCGCTGTCATTGTCATGTTTCTGGTTGGAAACTTAACGTTGAGCTTTTTTTTTTTTTTTTTTTTTTTTTTTTTCATTTTCTTTCTTCCGTTCTCTGAGTCTAGTTGTTTTTCAGGTTCTTGTTTGGGCTTTGTGTACATTTTTACATGTTTCAACCCTTAAGTTGTGCTCATGTTGTTGTTATTCACTGAGTGTTTGTGGGTCTGGTGGACCTGTTGCATTTTGGGGTTTTTAATTCCTCACAATCACACACTTTTATGTTAAAATACTCAACAGATTTTTACTTCATTCCAATTACAACCAGTATAAACACCACCTATATGCTAATTCACTTATCCTCTACCTTTGTTAGATCACATTCATAAGATTAACACCTTACAGTAACTTATCTGTCTAAACAACACATCAGCCCTATTGAACACATTGCCTTTAGCCAGTAGCCTATACAAAACAAGAGGGGCAGGGTTTTACTGTGTGTGTGTGTGTGTGTGTGTGTGTGTGTGTGTGTGTGTGTGTGTGTGTGTGTGTGTGTGTGTGTGTGTACTTCTTGCACTTATTGCATGTATTGCATGTTTTTATCCATCTGGGGTCCATAAACTTTGCACTGCTTCTTATTGTTGCCTCGTCCTGGGGCTCATCTTCATTTTGGAACTAGCTCTGTGGTCATTATAAAATATATTCTGGTATATGTTCTTCACAGGAAATGAGCCAAGGCCAATGAGTCTGAGTTCAATTATTAATTAATGGTATCATTTTCTCTTAATAAAAAGTAAAATCAGTCCCCAGGGTCCCCAACACCACACTGAAAGTGATACAGAAATGTAATTATTTTTTGTAATAAGTATTTAAAAAAAACATTTTGTGTTCTTATCCTTTTTTTTTCTCTCTCTATCAGATAGTCCTTGTTGGTCCTGCAACAAGGACAACAGCCTTTATACATGGGACATTTAGACCGCTCATTTTGTGTTTTACTCAAGTAATATATACAGTATAATTTGTGTGTATTCCTCTGAAGTTGGTGTTTGTGTCATGCACTGTGTTTCCATCCATCTGTTGCATTTCCTGTTTGAACTGAGATGGATTGGCAGGAGTTGACAAAAATTTGCTTATTGATGAGTAAAAATCATGTTTATTTGTTATAGATAGATAGATAGATAGATAGATAGATTACAATACATTACAACTCAGCCATATAATATGTTTTGTCTCGTTTCCCAAGCTTGACAAATATAGTCTGCTACAATAAAGGCTCCCTTAGCTAAACAGATTTCAAGTTATTCATAATCACCTAATTCAAGGAAATCACCATAGATAGAAGACATTTTACGAACAAATACCTCTCTTATATCAATATATTTAGGGCAGTAATACAAAAAGTGAACCTCATTTTCAATTTCACCTAGTTCGAAAAACATACAGTATCTCTCCTCCTCTGGAGTGGCATTAAACCTGCCTGTCTCCAGGGCTAATGGTAATGTTCCTGACCGTATTTGTGCACATAGTGATCGCTGTCTTCTGCTTAAATTACATTTCACATAAGGCTCAGAAGTGTACCTGTCCTTTATGAGACAATAAGATCGCAACTTAGGTTTATACCAAATATCATTACTCCACTTTTCTTTATATCTGGAAAACATTGTATTTCTTATTTCATTTACATCACATTGTAGTTTATTTTGGAAAATAAAAAAAACAAACCATTAAAATAAAATAAAGATCTCATTTCGGTTGTCCAGGAGTTACCAAATCTAAAATCCCAATTAAAAATCTTTTTTGTGAGTCTCTGGTCAGACATCTTCACCAGCCTATTCCATAGCCTAATCATTTGGCATTTGTGTCTTATGCTTGGAGGTTCCCATCCCATATCACCATTAACTGCCAACACTGGAGTCAATTTATGGACTCCCAAAAAGGATCTGATAGCTCTATGATGCACAGCGTTACAACTTGTATATTCTCTGAAACCCCAAACACCAGAAGCATAATCAGACACTGGACATACCCCTGATTCATAGAGTCGTGTAAAGGTGTTGAATCCTAAATGACCACAGTGTTTCACTTTATTCATGACAGACCCCAGTGCCCTACCCGCTGACTGAGCTAGGGTGCTAACAGCATCATTAAATGTCATATGCTCATCTAATGTCAGTCCAAGATATTTATACTGATCAGTATATGACAACATCATTGACCAAAATTAAACAAAACTAAACTAATTTGCAGTGATTTTGGTCTGAAGTGTACTATTTGTTTTTTTTCCTGGTTTACCTCTAGTCTCCATTTCCAGCCATTCTGCAACAATGTCAAGCATTAACTGCAGATCACTTTCATGTTCAGCCAGTAAGAGGAGGTCATCCGCGTATAGCAATAAAGCTACATTTTGATCGTCAACTGTAATTCCCAAGCCAGAAGCTTTAATTTGAAGGACTAGATCATTAACATAAACTGCAAAAAAATTTGGAGATAAAATATCTCCTTGCTTCACCCCAAATTGCTGAGGGAACCATCTAGTTCTAATATCATTAATTTGAACACAGGCAGCCGGTGCTTGGTAAAGAGACTTGATGGCATGATAAAATTTTCCATTGACACCTGATTTTAACAATCTATACTGTAGAAAGTCCCTATTAGTCCAATCAAAAGCTTTAGTGAAATCAATAAAACAAGCAAAAGTAGATTTATTCTGCTTGATACTTGCACGAATAATAGTAGAGACAGCATATATGTGATCAATACAAGCTCTACCTTTCCTAAAGCCATTTTGCTCATCAACAAGAAAACCTGTTCTCTCAAGATGGTCTACAAGTCTACTGTTTAACATTGAGGAATATAATTTATAGATACAACTAATAAGACTTATACCCCTATCGCTGAGTGGTAACTTTGGATCATTCTTTGAGGACTTTGGGATGAGTTTAATAATGCTTTTGTTCCATTGTGTGGGTATGATGCCACTGTCAAAACAAGATTTAAACAGTTAAAATAAAATACTATATAGCCTCGGTGACTTCAGCACCTCATTGGATATTTCATCAATCCCAGTAGCTTTTTTTCATTTTGCATCTGTCTATTGCATTTTGTACCTCTTCCCTAGAAAGTGTTGTATTCAAAAATATGTTGCTATTGATTAAATCAGAATTCATTTGAGTTTCCATGACCTCTTTTAAATCAACTATTTCCTTCAAAAACACTTCATCAAAACAATTATTGCAACCAGAATACAGATGGGCAAAATCTTCTCCCCATTTTTAAAAAAACAACCTCTAACTCTGAGCTACACTTACCATTTTCTAATCTTACCTCCATACGTATTTCCCTAGATTTTCTTGGTCTCAGTTTGTTTATTTCCCTCCAGAACTGTTGGGGGTTTTGGGTTTGTAAGTCATCAATTTGCAAAGAAAGACCTCTGTTAAAGTTGCGTTTTACAGTACATATGCTCTTATCAAATTCACTTTGTCTTGTCTTATATTCTATCCTCAGTCCTTCTCTCATGTTTTTATTTTTACATTTTAGAAATTCTCTCTCTGCTAATTTTACTCTGTCCCACAAAGACTGAAGGTCTTGGTTCCAGTAAGGCTAATAGGGTTTTCTGGACACTTTATTAGTCCCTTTCTGCTTTGAATTTTGTAGTGCTGTGTAGATATAACTCCAGAGTTTATCATACCAAGCATCTAAATCATTTTGACAAGACATCACACCGCCTAAATACTCAGTTAGATCCAACAATATTGTGCTGTACTGACTAGAAGCTAGAAACGACTGAGGGAGTCGTCTTGGTAGTACATTTGCACTAGTATGCTGTGAATGTGACTATGGTCTCACCTGACATTTTAACATTAGTAAAGAATGGTCAGGTAATTTACACCGCCCAATAGAGAAAACCCCTCATCCCCTACTCTCAATTAACTCATTTGGGGTGAAAACATTAAAAGTGACACAATTCTTTAAACCTTCATGTGGAACGATAATATAATCCACTACTGCTTTACCTTTAACTGAGACTGAAGTAAAGTTGTCATTGCCCCCAGGCATTCTACCCTTTAGCACACAGCCCTTAACATCTCTCAAAAACTCAATGAGCATTTCCCCATTATTATTTACTGTGGTATCTAGATTAACCCTGCTGGGAATATTATCTACTTCATTAATGAAGTCATCAAGGTTACCAATCCGGCCATTTAGGTCCCCACACAAATATATAGCATCTACATCAGCAGACAATGTAAACATCTGGGCCATTAGAGACCCAAAAAAATAATGAGAATCAGTTGATCTAGTAGATCCCTCTGGGGGTAAATAGCAGGTAGAGATAACAAAACAGTAGTCAGAAAATATATCCTTAAATTAGAGTGCAAGTATTCCTTCCACTGATTTTTCCTTTATTTTAATTTCATAAACCTCAAATAAAACATTCTTTATTAGAAATCCCACGCCACCTGATCCTTTAACTGCTTTGGTATGCATGGGTCGACTTTGACCAAACCAAGAATAACCCTGTACATCAATGATTTCATTTTGTATTAAATGTGTTTCATTCAGTGATATAATATCAGGGTCATGATCAAATAAAATTATTTTTCTAAGATCATTGTTCCACACAGACCAGCACTGCACTAATGTGAGATTATCAGCATCCCGTACTTTAAACGTGTCAGTGCTTGGTGGTTGGGCAGTTACCTCTCATTCAACCCCTTCCCCCCGGTTGGACCTCCGTCTTGTGGGTTCACTTGCGGGGGTCCTGCTGGGGTCCTGCTGTTGGTCACGTTTCACCAGTCTCCCGTTCCCAGTCAGGAAATAATCCTTTCCACACAGGGAGTTCACTGTGAAGGGTACTGAAGTTTAAGTTGATCAGCCTCTCTATGTGTGACTTAGCAGCGTGAATGAAAACTTGGCTAAACAGTTCGTTGTCCCTCAAATTCTTCTTACGACGCAGCACCCCTACTTTGTCCTGCACGGTTCGGAACTCCACCTTGATCACCCCAGGCCCCTGTCCTTGCGGTGTCGTTCGCTCTGTGTTGACGATTTCAGGCACCGGATCACATTTTAGCCCCTCGAATAGTAAAGCATTTGCTCTCTCCCGAGAGATTTCCCCCTCGGTTAAGGCGAGGCCCACAATGATGATAGATACATCCGATTGAAACTAGTTGACATAGCATTTTGCTTCTTCCAGTTTCGATTCGAATGCATCCATTCTAGCCGTGACATGGCCAATATCAAGGTCAAGGTTTTGCTGCAGTAGGCTTATTTTGGTATCCATCTCAGCTTTCATCTCATCGCGATCAATTGCTCAAGGCGTTTCAATTCACTGGCTAAAAGTTTTTCAAGTGAGGAATGCACCTCATTAATCTGCGCTTTGAGAGTAGCACTCTGAGATTTTAAGCGTGCTTTAAACTCCTCCCGCTGTGCATTGAGTTCTGCCATGGTAGTGTTGAAATCATTGTTTGTGTTTTCTGTTCCTTTACTTTTATCATCCTTCCCCCTTTGCCGCATGGTGCGGCCCGCTTTATCAGTCATAGTGTATACAACTTGTTTTTTTGTTTTTTTTTACGAAGTTGTTCACTATTGTCTCAGTATATGAACTTTTTCAACAGAAATTCTGGGCACCTCAGAACACAGTTTACAAGCCAAAGCAGATCTAGGTTAAAAATCGAACCACACTGTCTTAGCTGTCTTCAGAACACAATTCACAGACCAGTTAAAGCAGATCTGGGTTGAAGTCGAACCACACTGCCTTAGTCCGTCCTCAGAACACAGTTCACAAGCCAAAGCCAAGCCATACCCTTGATTACGTGTATGTTTTGGATTATGTGACAGCCTTTCTGAAGAAAAATGAACCAGCTGCTTTGGTAGTTAATTGTGTTAGTTGAATTTTGTATTTAGCTGTCTTGTTTGGAGTGAGAAAATGTCATCAAACATGAAGATAAATCTAAAATAAGAATCAGAGAAATACATTTTCACTTTCTTTTCCTCGTAAGTATAGAGTATCTCTGACCACTGCCAGTGTTTAACCACAATTTATCAATACAGTACGGTTCTGATGAGGAGGTTTTTTTATTTTTTATATAGATTTCAGAGCCTGTGACACTCTGTAACTCTTATCACCTCTGTGATTAACTAGAAAGAGCACAGAGAGGGCAGCCTTGAGACAACCAAGGCAGGTTAAATACCAGAGTCAACCCAGTCCCAAAGACCCCATCACTGCTGGCTGTAAAGTTCAATAATGCTATCCTGTCATATCAATTCTGAATCAGCAGATCTATACTTTCCCACAACATCAGTCACTTCTGACAGACTAGGGGAGGCTAAACCTTCCACTAGAAAAGGGACAACATGAGCCGGACATGGTGGTGCTTATTTGGCTACAATCTAAAGTTTAGGGCATAAAATGCACATGCTGAAAAAATAAAGACCTTTTTTCTTTGCGGATTATCAAGGACAAATAAAAACTGTTGAGATTTAGTGCAAGGATGTGGAAACACGGAGGAGACACCACCATGAGAAAATAAATAAAAAACAAATAAAAGAATTTAATTGATGTTGCCTTATGCTGTTGGAGGAGATGTTATGCCATCACCCAAAATCAATAAGTTACTTCTTCTTGTTAACACAAATAGACAAGAGTAATTTCCAACGCCAGTTTGATAATTCCTTTTCCAGACATTAAAACAAAATGCATTGATGGAGACAACAGCATAACCTCTGCTCTTCAGACAGCAGAGAGAGAGAAACTGGGGGAGACTAAGAGACAAGTGTCCTGCCTAGTGTCCATGTTGTCAAAATGGGTTAGGGTAAGGGTAAGGGCTAGACTGCCTACCTTATTCTATGAGAGCTCTTGTACTCTCTCCTGTCCCAGTCAATAGAGCTTGTTTTACACATAATCAGGAAACAGAAATGTCGACAGTTAATTTTTCTGTTCGTGTTTGAACATATTTGAAACATATTTTCCAAATGGTAAATGTGCTTGTGTTCACCTTTAGGCATTGGTCACAAAACCAGTTGAGGTCAGGGTCACTGGTGGCAGGTTGATATGTCAATAATGTAGGTCTGGAACTTTTAATATAAGGCGAGGACCAGAGGGGCACATTTAACTAAAAGTTTAAACCCATTAACCAGTAACCAAGACATTAACTCTGATTTAATCCATTATGTTGAAAAAAATAATGAAAGTAAATATTACCATCAAAACCTGCTGAGAGTATAACTCCTCCCCAAACCAACCCTTCCCCCCGCTGCAACAGAGAGGGTCCCTATGTTCCAAGTCTAGTCACAGGTTTTATCCTAACACATTGCAGGACAAAAGATCCCCCGTTTACTTCAAATCTGTATGCTCTTGTACAAGATGTTTGGGGTCGATTTTACCATGGCAGAACAGGAAAATGATTATCAGATAAATGGACCATCTAAACCTGTTCCAGGGTTTAAAACAGCAACTTGACTGCCTCTAGATGTGTTTAGCTCATGAATAGAGGGATGCCTCTCTTGACTGGTTTGATATATGCAACCATGTCCGTCCTGTTTATTTCACAAAATTTCCTTTAATGCACTCAAAATGACCCTCTGCTATGTAATTTTCACCACTAAACACTTTAAACACATAATGTAATCACAGCCCTCTGTGATTCAAATGTATGACAGAAGATTATAGCATTAAAGTGAAGTGTTCTGTAAAGGTCAGGGCTCTGATTTTCTCATGGAAGGGTTTAACACGACACATAACTTTGGCACCTCTGTCTTTTAAGACCCTTTAGCCCAGGGGTTAAAGGGTCTTAGACATAAAAATCTCAACATGGGGTCACATGAGAAACCTGAACTGTGTTGGAGGGCTGAACCAACAATAACTTCAACCTTTTTTTGCTAAATATTCATTATCTCCTATTGTAAAAAGCAGTAAATTAAACCCACAGACCTTATACACGTAGATGCCTCATTGCTTGCTGGAGCGCAATCCAGTATTGCCGCCATAATGGAAGGGTCGCCTTCCAAAAGAGCCAAAATGGAGTCAATTGAGAGCTAGCAACTACAGTATGCCAGTATTTGTGCATTCTACAGTAAAAAAAAATAAAATAAATAAAGCAGCATTAAAACCAGGTCATGTAGGATTACATTTCATAAGTAAGATTGAAAAATAATTTGGGTTATTTTGTGTTTGAATGGAAATCAAACAACGGCTAGGTTTTCATAATAAAAGCAACACACTTGTATTGAATACTTCCGGGTCAACCAACAGCAGCCGGCACTATGGAGCGTACACCACGCAACAAACTTTTGCTGAATATAGTTAAATTAAATGAGTACCGACGCTGACAATCAACAGTGAGTTGCATTGAATATTAAGGACGTGAATTAATCGTGGATTAACTGAAAACATTTAGAAATGCCAGGCAAAGGACGAGGACGTGGAGGAGCCGGCAGCGCCGGCTTATGCACAGCTGATGATCATACCGGATCAGAAGAAGAAAACAACTTGAGACCCAGAGAAATCAGTGAAGGACTTCATGAAATCCCAGCTCAAACTCCCCGCAGACACAGTCAACAACATTACATTTCACCGCGTTCACCGTTTAGGACAAAAAAACACCACTACCAACAGACCCCGCCCGATTGTCGCCAAGTTCGAACACTTTAAACAGAAAGAACAGGTCAAACATCAGGGAAAACAGCTCAAAGGAACGGACTATGGACTAAATGATCAATACCCAAAAGAAATCATGGACAGGCGCAAAAAACTCTTCCCCATACGCAAACGAATGATGTCAGAAGGAAAGAAAGCAGTAATCTCAGTGGACAAACTTTACATAAACGGACAGTTATACCGCAGCAAGGATATCACCCCCTGGTTATACTAGCCCTCCCGTCTCTCTGTAAACTATCTCTCTCTTCCTTTCTGATACCCATGCGCTCTCGCTCTCTCCACCCGCTACACAGACCCCTGCTCCCCTTCCCACCGTTGTTTGCAATATCTGATAAGGACAATCATAAATAGTCACGCACCAACGTCTCGCCCCGCACTCTATGCGCTCTGATACGCAACGATCTCTGTGTTCTTTATTGTTATACGTTTGTGTTTTGTTTGCTGTTCGTATGTGTGTAAACATTACTGTATATGTCTCTTTTTGTTTTGTATTCACTTGTCTAGTCTTTCTCTCGCTCTCTCGCTCTCTCTCTCACACTCACACACACACACACACACACACACGCACACACGCACACACACGCACGCATACAAACACATTCACTCACTCAGCATCATGAATCCCTCCCCTTTTGATCAAAATCACCCAACATGTCAGCAATAAAATTCGTTTCTTGGAACATCCGTGGCATTGGAACTCAGGCTAAGAAAAATAAAGTATTTAATCATCTCACCTCACTCAATGCAGATATTTGTTTACTACAGGAAACACATCTCTCAGAATCAGATAACATCAAATTACAATCATCTCAGTTTACTCACTCATTCTCATCACATTTCAATAAAAAACAAAGAGGAGTTTGTATTTTAATCAGTAAATCAATATCATTTATACACAATACCACCATAACAGACCCAGAAGGACGTTTTGTCATCATTAACATTACAATCAATAATAGCCCACTGACAATTGGTAATATATATGGCCCAAACACTGATGACCCATCCTTTTTTCATAAATTCTTTTCATCCATATCCAACTTTTCTGACTCCCCAATAATAATTGGCGGCGATTTTAACACAGTATTAAACCCATCAATAGACAGATCTAACACATCGAGCAATACACGCATCTGGCAATCCACTCAAACAATAATCCAGTTCATGAGTGATTTTGGTCTTGGCGACGGTTGGCGCCTACAACACCCAACTGTCACTGTGATCATGCCCCAGTGTCATTCAAATGGAACCCACCAAGACCACAAAAACCAGTCACCAGATGGCGCTTCAACACATCCCTCCTGAAAGATCCTGAATTTAACAACCTCATCAAAAGAGAGTGGGTATCCTTCCTGGAAATAAATGATTCCCCAAAGCCATCCCCCACACTTCTATGGGAAACAGGTAAAGCAGTCATCAGAGGAATTATCATTTCATATTCAGCCCATAAGAAAAAGAAAGAAAACAAGCAAGAATCTGAATTACAAGAAAAAATCAAACAGCTAGAAACTGTCAATGCAACTAATCCAACAGAAGAAAACGAGAAGAAATTAAGAAAATATAAACTAGAAATAAATGAAATTCTGAACAAGAAAACTAACTTCATGATCAGCAGGCTCCGACAGGAAAACTTCCATCACAATAACAAATCCGGCAAATATCTTGCAAACCAAATCAAAAGAAATAAAGAAAAATCCACAATCTCCACCATCATGAACTCAGCAGGGAAGTCAACAAACTCACCCGATGAAATAAATCAAATATTCAGAGAATTTTATGTCAACCTATACTCCTCAGATAACACTCCTAAGGAAGAAGACATCAGTCTATTTCTCACCAACCTCAATTTACCCCAACTCTCCCCTGAACAAAAAAACACATTAGACACACCCCTAACAACTGAAGAAATCCAATCTGCCCTCAACAGAATGCCTAACAATAAAGCACCCGGTCCTGATGGCTTCCCTGCTGAGTTCTACAAACACTTCTGGTCCATCTTAGCTCCACTTTTTCACAGAATGATAACAGAAACACAACAAACCTCCAGACTTCCACCCAACATGAACACAGCATCTATCTCACTGCTTCTTAAACCAAACAAAGACCCCACCCTGCCTTCAAGTTACCGCCCCATTTCACTTCTCAACGTTGACATTAAAATTATCACCAAGGCACTTTCCCACCGATTAGAAAAAATTATTCCATCCATTATTCACCCGGACCAAACAGGATTTATTAAAGGAAGAAACTCATCCAATAACACACGCAGACTATTCAATATAATGCACCACTCAACCACACATAACCATAACTCAATCATAGCCACCTTAGATGCAGAAAAAGCCTTTGACAGAGTTAACTGGTCATTCCTCATCCACACCCTACACAGTTTCGGCTTTGGGGAATCATTTATTAACTGGATTAAAACACTTTACACCTCACCTACAGCCACAGTTATTACTAACGGACAAACCTCACAAAGCTTCACTCTTCACAGGGGGACCAGGCAAGGTTGCCCACTCTCTCCCTCTTTGTTCACCATTTTCATTGAACCCCTAGCAGCAGCCATCCGTCAGAACCCCCTCATTACAGGAATCCAAACCCCCAACATGCACCATAAAATCAGCCTCTATGCAGATGACATTTTACTTTTTATGGATAACCCAAAATCATCACTACAAGAAGTAATCAGTGTCATCAAATCCTTCTCCCTTCTCTCTGACTACTCAATAAACTGGAACAAATCCTCCATACTCCCATTAAACACCAACAGTCTGGCTGTGGCAGCCCTTACAACACCCATCCCCTTCTGCACAAGTCACATCACCTACTTAGGCATCCACATTTCCCCCAGGCTGTCAGAGTTGATCAACTTGAATTTCACTCCACTCCTAAAAAAAATCAATGATGATCTCCAACGATGGATGAACCTCCCATTATCTATATTAGGCAGAATAGCAACAGTTAAAATGACAATCCTCCCCAAAATCAGTTACCTTTGTTCAATGATTCCCACTCATCCACCTCTCACCTGGTTTCATTCCCTCGATTCATCCATCAACAAATTTTACTGGAAAAATAAACCCCCACGAGTCAAACTGGCCACTCTTCAGAAATCAAAAAGTTTAGGCGGACTCAATGCTCCAAATTTTCATCATTACTCACTAGCAAATCAACTTCAATACATCTACAAATGGACCCACCCCACCCAGTCAGATAGCACGTGGTTAGACATAGAACAAACAGTTAGCAAAGACATCCATCTCTCAGACCTACCATTCCTCAGTCAAACTATCAAAAAACACCCCTGTTTCCAAAACCCCACAATATCATCGGCCCTGACAGCCTGGTGGAAATTCTACAGCATTACTAACTCCACTCTGGCACCATCGCTTTTCACCCCGATCTGGCACAACCTGGACTTCATCAGCAATAAACAATCACTATACTTCAGCACCTGGGTAGAGAAAGGGATTACTCACCTCAAACATATCTTCAATAATAACACCCTGGTCCCATTCTCTCTCCTGGTCCAGAAGTTTGGCATCAGGAGCCATCAATTCTTACAATATCTACAGGTTTCATCATCCATCCAATCATCAATGAAAACCAAGAATATAAACTTAGACCTCCCCCCGTTACCCTCTAAACTCATTAACATCCCTTCCTCAAAGAAAATCCTATCTAAATTATACAAATTATTATCACAGGCCGACTCAACACCCTCCATACCTTCAGAAAAATGGGAAACTGATCTCTCCATTGCTCCTGATGCTGACTTCTGGCCCCAAATCTGCAAGAACATTTTCTCCATGACGAAAAATGCTAATTTACAACTCATACAATACAAAATCCTTCACAGAACTCATCTGACTGGACACAAAATGCAAAAAATGGGCTTCTCATCATCTGGAAACTGTTCACACTGCTCACTAAACTGCACTGATACCTATATTCATGCAACCTGGCACTGCACACCTGTTCACCACTTCTGGAGAAACATTACAGAAACATTATCCCAGATTATGGGCTGCCACATCCCACTTTCCCCTTCCGTCTGTTTATTAGGAGACCTATCTCCATTAAAACTTGACAAAACACACACACGTTCACTTCTAGTGGCACTAACCGTCGCCAGGAAAACTATCCTCATGAACTGGAAGTCTCGGAACTCCATACACATAATACACTGGAAAAACCTGCTCATAGACTACCAACTTTTTATTTTTATTTTATTTACTTATCTATTTATTATTATTATTATTATTATTATTTTTATTATTATTATTATTATTATTATCTTTATTATTATCTTTACCATTATCATTACTATTTTTTTATTATTATTGTTTATTGATTTTTATTTTCTATTTCTTACTACATATTACTACAAATATTATGATGAATATTATTGTCATTGTCATTTTCTATTATTAATATTTATTTATTTATATACTTACATTTACAGTTGTTATTTTCTGCTCGGGTCCCTGCTGGGTCGCGCCTGTTAGACAATGACCTGTGATCTCCTTGCCCTCCCGGCCTCCCCCCTCCCCCAGTTCTCCGCCCTGGACTGTCTTCAGATGGCACATCACCTCTTTTATTGCACATCACACTAGATTAGGAAGAGGAACGGGGTCTCAATCTCATCAAATTATAGTTCAGGACAACCCCTCTCCTCGGTTTTAATGCACAACATTAGAAAGCACATATATGAGAGAAATTAAGAAAAAAAATAAATAAATAAATAAATAAAATAATAGCAATAATAATAATAATAATAATAATAATTAAAAAAATATATATATAAATAAAAATAAATTAATAATTATAAAGTATATTAAGTAAATAACAAAGACTAAATACATATATTGACATAGGGCAAGGTGTTGTGCCGCATTCAGTCCGGGGCATGCGGGGGTTGGGGTGGGAGTCTGGGGGCCTGGAGGGATGCAGGTGGGTCTCGTGCGAGTGGGAAGGGACCCGAAGTGGTCCACAAATTCCTTCTTCTTCTTCTTCTTATTGTTACTATTATTGTTGTTATTATTATTATTATTATTGATATTGTTGATGTAGTATAATTTTCTTTTTTTTTTTTTTTTTTGCTTGTCTGACAATTGTAATATTTATTTATTTATTTATTTATTTATTTTTCTTTTTCATTATTATTTACACACACCACACACACACACACACACACAAACACACACACACACACACACAACCACAAATGCCATTGTTTGTTTTGTATGTCTTGTATTGTCACACTGCACAAATAAAAAATTAAAAAAAAAAAAAAAAAAAAAAAAAAGAAAACAACTTGAGACTTGCAGAAATACTACAGGAAATAAAAGAATTCCGTGCTGAAACAGGCAAAAACCTTGGAGTAATAAAACAAGAAGTGAGTGAATTGCGGGAAAGCTTTGGACATTTAAGCACAAGAATGGATGTAGCAGAGTCAAGAATCGTGGAAGGTGAGAATTGTCAAAACGCAATGACAAAAGCACTGCTGCACAGCATGTGTCTTCAGAAACAATTAGAAGAAAGATGTGAGCAAATGGAATCACATTCCCGCAAGTGTAATGTGAGAATACATTCTGTGGGTGAGAAAATAACAGAGAGAGGCGATATGGTGGAGTTTGTCAAGGAAATCATCCGGGATAAACTTGGCGTGGGCCTTGAAGAAATCAGCATAGCAGCAGCGCACAGGATCGGGAAAAAGACGGGGACAGAGGATCGGCCCAGGTCAATAATAGTACGTTTTCAGAACGAGAACATGAAACAGCGTGTATTACGGACGGCATGGGAGACAAAGGACCTCAAGATCAGAGACAAGAGGATTTATTTTGAGGAGGACTTCACTGACTGGGTTTATAAGGAGCGTGGACAATGTGGAAAGATAAGAAAACAACTCCTAGAAAAGAATATAAAGTCAAGAATTGTGTACCCCCCTAAATTGAAAGTATTTGAGAAGGATGGACAATACAAGTTGTTTGATAACCCGCAAGCAGCAGCAGAGGGCGTACGAGCGTACGGCGTTACGGTGGATATCCCAGCCGCCAAACCAGACTTTGAGACTACACTAAAGGCAGAAGGATGGCAGACAGCAGGCGCTGGGAAGAGGAGGACGAGAGAAAATGAAAATGAACTAATGGAAAGTGTCAAGACATTACTGGACTCTGGGAACCGGCATAGAAAGGACAAGGACTAAACGTACGGGTCTGCACAAAGAAACACAAATGTGTAGGGGTTTGCATCCCGACAGAGGGATAGGCTACAGCCACTCTAAAGATGAAAATGACTGAGATGGTTGGGAGTCAAATCCTCACAGGTTCCGATGATGAAGAAAATATGTATGATTTAGATGATGTAGACCCTGAGAATCACTTATTTAGTTATGTTGGAGACACTTGTAAATACTATAGTAATGAACAAATTAATGATAATGTAGAACTGGACAATTCATTTTCTCTTATTCACTTTAATTCTAGAAGTATGTACGCAAATTTTACGGACATTAGGGATTATTTGGACACATTCAATAATAAATTCAAGGTCATTGCGTTGTCTGAAACATGGTTGAATGAAAACAGAGGCTCTGATTTTTATCTTGAGGGTTATGAATTATATCATGTAAATAGGGCCAACAAAAGGGTTGGGGGTGTGGCCTTGTATGTTGACGGTAAGCTGGGGTGCAGAAGAATATTTAACGATATAAGTGACCATTTACCCATATTTGTAACATACAAAGATAGCCAAATAAAGACTTACAGAGATCAAAAATGTCCAAGATACAGGAGGGTAAGAACAGAGGAAGCAATAAATAAATTAAGAAAGGACCTAAGTGAAGAGTGGGAAGGGGTATACGTAGATGGTGTGAACGATGCATATGAGTCTTTTCTGAATTGTTTTCTATTTCATTATGATAGGCATTGCCCAATAACGCAATGTAAAAGCAAGAGTAATTACAATAAAAAGCCTTGGATAACAAAGGGCTTGCAAAATGCCTGCAAAAAGAAAAATAAACTTTATAGAGATTTTATTAGATTTAGAACAAGAGGTACAGAAATTAAATACAAGGTGTACAAAAATAAATTGACAATTATAATGAGGCAAGCAAAGAAAGAATACTACAACAAGAGACTTGATGAGAATAAAAATGATTTAAAAGGTACGTGGAAAATCTTGAATCAAATGATAGGAAATGTGCATGTTTCTACAGAGCTTCCCACCCATCTTATTAATGACAGCAAGAAAGTTATTAAAAATATGAATGAAGTTGTAAATGAATTTAATTCATTCTTTGTAAAGGTGGGGCCAAGCTTGGCCAATGCCATTCCACATGAAAATGGACAAGAAGATGGTAGATATGAGAGAGGAAGTAAGATAATGCAGTCCATGTATTTAGAGGAAGTGAGTGAAGATGAAATCATATCCACTGTGGTTAAACTAAAGAATAAAATATCAACAGATAGTGATGGGATAGATATGAGTATTGTGAAAAAAACTATTGACTGTATTATCAAGCCCTTAAGGTATATTTGTAATCTTTCGTTTAGTGCAGGTGTTTTCCCAGATCGTATGAAAACTGCCAAGGTTATTCCTCTTTTCAAAACTGGAGACAAACATGAGTTTACAAATTATAGACCGGTGTCGTTACTCCCCCAGTTTTCAAAAGTGTTGGAAAAGTTGTATGTACAAAGATTGGATTCATTTATTGAAAAGAATAATCTGCTAAGTGACAGTCAGTATGGTTTTCGAACCAAACGGTCCACAGCATTAGCACTCATGAGAATAACTGAAGAAATAACACAAGCAATAGATGATCATAAACACACAATTGGGGTTTTCATCGATTTAAAGAAAGCCTTTGATACAATCAATCATACAATATTAATAAGCAAATTGAAAAATTTTGGTGTGAGAGGTGTTGTACTAGACTGGTTGATCAGTTATCTTCACAACAGGCAGCAATATGTTATGTTAGAGGGTTATAAATCAGAATGTATGAAGCTGGAATGTGGAGTACCACAGGGCTCAGTTTTGGGACCCAAACTTTTTATTTTATATATTGACGATATTTGTCAAGTGTCTAATTTAATGCATTTTGTGTTATTCGCAGATGATACTAACTTTTTTTGTTCAGGGGATCATTTTAAATGAGATAGCAAAAAATATAAAAAATGAGATGGTTAAAATTAAAAAGTGGTTTAATAGAAACAAGTTATCGTTAAATGTAAAAAAAACAAAGTTTATGATTTTCTCTAATCGAAAAAAGAATGAAATTCAACTTACTATAGATGATATAAACATTGAGAGAGTTTATGAATTTAGGTTTTTGGGCATCATATTAGATGACAAATTGACATGGAAAAACCATATATCACATGTAAAAGCCAAAGTGGCTAAGAGCCTTTTTATTTTGAACAAAGTAAAATATGATTTGGATACAAGCACTTTGAGAATGTTGTATTGTTCACTGGTTTTACCATATTTTACTTATTGTTTGGAAGTATGGGGCAATACATACAAGACGAATATTACTCCCCTGATTAAGTTACAAAAAAGAGCATTGAGAATTATTTATACAGAAGATTACAGAGCACATACCAATAGACTTTTTATGTTGTCAGGTTTACTGAAAATAACACACTTAAGGGAGCTAAGAACACTTCTGGTGGTGTTCAGAGCGAAAGACAAAGTCTTACCAAAACAGCTGCAAGGGTTATTTGAAATTAGCTCAGAGAGTGAAAACCTCAGGAGACCATATGATTTTAAACACCAGTTTGCTCGGACGACGCTAAAGCAGATGTGTATCTCTGTTGCAGGTATTAAGTTATGGAATTCGCAAAATACTGAGTTGAAGAGTTGTACAACAATGTTTCAGTTTAAGAAAAAGTTTAAAAGAGGGAAAATCAAAAATTATGAATTGGATGAAGTGGATGACTGATGATGGGTCAGTTTGTTTGTTTTTTGTTATTGTTTGTTTTTGTTTGTTTTTTTTCTTTTGTTTGTTTGTGGTATTTTTTGGACCTTAACTATATAATATTTTGATCAATTGCTGGCTGGTTGATATAGATAAATGTGTTGTAGTGAAGGGGCAGTCGTACATAAGACTTGTCTTCTGTCTGCTCCTTTTCATTTCACATGATAACATGAGAAAAAAAAAAAAAAACTAAAATAAAAAAAAAAGGATGAGTGCAATGTATTATATCATGTATCATGAATGAAATGAAATAAATAAACATGAATGAATATTCACGTCCTGATGATGGACCTCACGCAGGCCGAGCAGGGACATCCAAAGGGCCTGATGTGGCCCTTAGGCCATATGCCCAGGTCTGCATTAGCCTCTGCAGTTTTAGGACAGCTCTCTTTTATTTCTCTGTTGTGCTCTGGGTTCAAACATGGCATTGAACTCGCTCTGCCCAATTGCGTTTGAATCCCTCTCAGTATATACAAAATGAACGAAATCAAGCTTAGTCTTGTAAATACTTTAGGGTGGGCCTTTCTTATTTACTAATTAAATTATGCAATGACAATTGAGTGTTTATATTTACATTTTTTGATCAAGTTTGAGTTTTAAAGCAACAAAGACATTGTGAATAAAACTCAGTCAACAGCAGAGCAGGTTTTACTATTTGGAGACAGATTCTTCATTGCAGGGAGTTGCCCAACAGAGAGTTAAATAACCCGACCTTTCTTGGTGCTTTTACACATTTTATTTCCTATTATTTCAGTTATTTAGCAGAAAACTGTTTGATGGAGTCCAAATTCGTTGTTCTAAAATATGAGAGGAGTGATCACTTTCCTTTTATTTACTGATAACAGACTGAAGAGAACCTGTATTGTACCAAACTTTGAAATATTGTGGATTTTTTAAAAATGACTTTGCAGAGAAGTGGAGGAAGGTGTTCAATCATATACTACCACTCATGTTAATAACCATTGACACTGCAGCAGTCAGAGCCTATTTTTGCAGTGTCATAGTTAGCATAAAAAATGTTTACGTCTAAATGCAATTCATTTTATAAAAGGGTAACATTAAAGTCCTCTGTTGTATATAAAAATGAAAGATCAGTGTGAATGCTTGTGTGCCACCTCATGACAGGCCGTGCAAAAAGTCATTTGGTAACCTGAACACAGCAGACACCCTACAAAACAGTTCTCCTATAAAACTGGATAGAGCTGAATATAAACTTTTATCATACTCTGGTGCTGCAGATCGTCCATTTATGCATTAGTGAATATGTTTTAAATTTTAATTTACAAAGATTGGATTAAAGGTGGGGTAGGCAGAATTCCGTTACAGAAGCATCTTTTTTGTGGTGTATATACAAAAAAGCTTTCAATATCAGTCAATAGCTTTTAGTTATTGATGACATTTGGTAATGTAACGATATTGCTGTGTTTTGTTATGTCTGTGAAATCAACATTTTATCATTTTTGACCGGCCTGCTCTTTCTGACTGTAAACAAAGCCATCCTCCGCCTCCCCCAAACTGACTGGTTGCAAGGCAGAAGCTGCTTCTTAGCGTTGATTGGTTGTGGGGCAGAAGCTGCACCCCTGTGTCGTTCACAAGCCCAAACAAAGTTAGCGTGCTACAATATCGGACAGTAGAAACAAACCAGAAAGTACGGAAAATCCTCTGAATCCTCCTTTGGCCATGACTGCCGACACAAGCAAGGAAACGCACTAAATACCGGAGACTCTGGCGGAATAACGGGCGCTTAGAAAGGAGGTAGACCAGACAAGCGCTAAAAAGCCAGGTCAACATCAATGAAATGATGGGGGATGCTTTGGGATCCGAAGCCAAGTGTCTGTAACAGAAGTGTTTCTTGTCAAACGGGACCTGCTGTGTGTTGTAGCGCCGCTAAACTGTTTACCTCGGGTCCTGGACTATGTCACTTTATCCTAGTCGTAGGAGTCCTGCAAACATTGGCTTTGCTGGTAGTCTGTTGGCATATACAGTAGCACCAATGCTTTTTTACTTTTACATTGACTGGGCCCTATTTGTAATTATCTGAAGTATTTATCTGCATTATATCTGAATTTAATTTATGTTTGTGGGCGGGGCTTGCTGGAGCAGAGAGGGAGGGGAGATGAGGAGCTGAGGGGAAAACTGGTTGGGAGGGGTAGAGTTTACATTCAAGATTTCTCCTTAAAACTGGAACTTCCTCAGATCCTGCCTACCCCACCTTTAAATGTCAG